TTTATTTTTTTAGATGAGAAGAAACATCAGAAGCAGTTGAGGGACCAGGAAGCGGGTCCTCCAAGAATACGGAGGCATTCTGCTTAATGGCTTTTTAAAATGTTTCCTTCAGAGTCATCTGACTCACTAACAGTGGTGTTTGTCTTAGAACTCTCTTTGACTTTATAAGCTGACATGATTTCTTGTTCTATTATGAATGCACATTACTCTAGTCCTTCAGTAAGCCCATCACACATTTTCACCGTGTCATTTATAGACATTTTTTCTGCAGTGTTAATGTCATTTTCATTGTTGTGTGCGTTTTGACTGCAACCTGTCACGTGGAATTCCACATTCCACAGGTGTGGAATTTTCCACTTGTGGCATCACATCAGTGCTCAAAAAGTTTGGGATTTTGGAGCATTTCAGATTCTCCTGTTAGGGATTTTCAACCTGTAACCTTTCTTCTCTCCCTTACTCTGTAGGCTCCAGCAGTCTTAACTGAATTAAATTACCATATACTGTTTTTAATGCCTTTGACTTGTTCCTTCTGCCTAGAATCTTCTTCACCCTCATCCCATTTCCAACAAAACCTCCATTCCTCTTTACTACCCCATACATTTCTTTTTCCAAGATGACTTCCCAGAATATTCCCTCTCCTTTCCCAACCTTCGCCCCCCTTAAACAAATTCTCTACCATTTGGGCACCTCTCTGGGAAACATCAGAAAGTGCTGCCATCTTCAGCCTGATTTTGTTTTTGCTGTATTTTTGTCTCCCTTACTAGACCATGAGTTCTTTGACCAGTGTGTCATTTCTGGCCTACGTGTACCCCCCACAGTGCCTTACTGTCATGGGCTAGATGCCTGCTGTTTAATGCCTGTTAATCAAACCAGTGTTTGATTAGAATGAAATCTTCCACCTTTTGTTTAGGAGATTTTCTGTTCTTGGAATGAAGGTTAGACTGCTTAACTACCACCATCTTTTTATGTCTAAGACTCTGTAATTACCTGTGTTCTGACAAGGAAAAGAACACACTCATGGAATTAAGATTTGTAATTATAGGCTGTTGAGTTTGTATATTTTTCTTTCATTGGATGCAATCTACAATTTGTAAAATTTTCTATAAATCAACTTTAGATCTTCCATGGAAATTCCAGACAGTTTCTTGCATATCTACAGTAAAAGCTGTAGATAAAATTTAATATATGAAAGCTTATTTTTAAAATTCTTTGTAATTAAGAAGAATTTTGCCTTTGATATAAATTAAATCCAGT